CCTAAAAATTGCTGTCCACCAACGTTTACCATCCAACCTGCCAGAACTGGAGAGGCTCTGCAAGGAGGAATGGCAGAGGATTCCCAAATCCAGGTGTGAAAAACTTGTTGCCTCTTTCCCAAAAAGACTCATGGCTGTATTAGATCAAAAGGGTGCTTCTACTAAATACTGAGCAAAGGGTCTGAATACTTAGGACCATGTGATATTTCAGTTTTTCTTTTTTAATAAATCTGCAAAAATGTCAACAATTCTGTGTTTTTCTGTCAATATGGGGTGCTGTGTGTACATTAATGAGGAAAAAAAATTTACTTAAATGATTTTAGCAAATGGCTGCAATACAACAAAGAGTGAAAAATTTAAGTGGGTCTGAATACTTTCCGTACCCACTGTATATATTACAGTTTAAGTGTAAATATATATATATAGAGAGAGAGAGAGAGAGAGAGAGAGAGTTTGAGTTTAAATCTCAAGAGTTATGATTTTCCCCCCTCTGAATTCTGAATTTTTTATGGAATAAAAAAACAAACAAGGTGACATTTTATGCTTTTTAAGCTTTTTTTGTGAGTTTATATCTCACAATTCCAAATTTAACATCTTTCAATTCTGACTTTACATCTTCAACGTCTGTGACATGTGATATACAGTTAACTCAGAATTGAGGGGAAAAAGTCCAAATTTGTTAAGATAAAAAGTTGAAATTACCTTTTTTAATTTTATTATTTTAAATTATTATTATTAAATAATAATATATGATTAAATGATTATTTTCTATACTGTGATGGAAATAAGCTTCCATAGTAACAGGCTTCCGTAAATAACTCAATAAATAAATAATACTTTATGTTAAAAGTCTTTATATTAACTGACTTTCTATTACTACAATACAGTGAATGACAACTGTCTGTGGTCTCCCAGTGTTTAGCATCACGTGATTCCTTTACAACAAAACATCTTGCATTACATAAAGCACAGCACCTGCTAGTCAAAACCGTGTAAATGAAACCACTAGACAAATCTAATCTAGGCAAACGGAGACCACTTTGAAGCTAGCATGATAACATTTCACTTTATTTGTGTTATTGTTGATGATATTTAATATTATTCGAAATGCAGAAAATAGTGATGAATGAAAAGTGAACAGAAACAGGCTAAAGGCAAGGGTGATGTTACAGTTATATTTAATCATTACAAATATGCAGTATGTATCAGAAACTTTGATTATGTTAAAAAATACTACTTTCTATATTTCTATCAACTTCCCAAATAGTAAACCTTTCAGCAGCTATGCTGGTCTTCCACGAATGCAAACAACAGTAAATAAGTCAGGGCTGTCAAAATAGCTGAAAAACTAAATTCAAATTTTGTACTTAAATAATAATATAATTATATTCGAATTTAAAATGCATAATTTCAGTTAGGTTCAGTTAGCATTTGGCTTCTCTCCTGCGGCCACAAGAGGGCGCATCAAGCAAAATATTACTAATGCACGTTTATTCAAAGCATAAGATAACATGTCTATCGGTGAAAAAGGTGCATAATGTTTAAAAACGAATTATAATTAAGTTGCTTAAACAACTATAAACAAAACGGCATTATATATGTATGCATAGTTTAATACAAAGGGTCGAAAGCCAATTACACAAAGAGTATATTTTTCATTTAAAAACACGAGTTGCAGTGGGATGAGAAAAAACCTCGCCATTAAGTCTCAAGATATGCTTTTTCAAAGTTGAACTTGCATTAATTTTACATGGCTTTCTAAACATACGGCTCTTTTGTGCGAGACGCGAGTGCAACTCTGATAGATGTCCCTCTAGAAAATGCGCGAAATATGCGTTCTGTGTGAACGGCTTGGTTTCAGTTTTTATGTAAACAAGATCTTCTCCGCATTGATGTTCTCTTTTCCTGCAATATGTGTAATTAACAACGCAGCAGCGCCGCATCTAGTGGCTTCAACTGGATAGGCTAACAAAAACATTCAAATGCAACAACACTTACATCGTCATCGCATCTCGTGCGCCGCTGATAAGGCTGCCTGACGCACATTTAAAATTTGAATGCAAATTGTGGATTTTTATGTTAAATTTTTTTTGACAGCCCTATAAGGCACTAGAGCTTCCAGACCAGCATCTGTTCCCTGGTCTCTCTCATCCTCATTTACACACAAGGCTCTCAGAGAAGCGTGACAAGAAAAATCTAGACATTCAGATGCTTTCACTTCAGAGAACTAAAAGGAAAAGTGATGTTTCCGACATCTGAAGGTTGAAAGTGAACAACTTCACAGAAAACACTCAAGATACCAGTCATTTACTCATCACGCTCCTCCAAGAATCGTATTTTTGGCATGTTTAAAACCACTTTCAGCAAGTTCCTAACCATAACAGTGAGTTAAAGTCTCTTCATGCTTACACAGTAGCGTTACAGCATTAATCCAGCTCTGCATTTAGTCTGGCGTTTGGTGGACACTGACTAAAAATGACCGTGTTTTTGATTATACAGATTCATGCGTATGTATTTGATTAGTATGTTAAGATCATGATTCTACACAGTATTTTTTTCTCTAACATAATGTGACAATTCTTTTTAGAATGAGGTAATGTGTTAGTGTTTTCTCTCGGAGCGATGATAGCGAACACATTTCGACTCATCCTTATAAAAGCACACATCAGGAAAATGTACAGAAGCAGAGCTGGTTTAGCTCCAGACGTCCTGCGAGTAGCGTCCTTTAGTCATGAGTTTCTTGATGTAATCCACCGCCTGAGCGCGGCTCAGTCCTCCCAGCTCCTCTGCGATCTCGTAGAAGGCGTTCTGGACGTCCCGCGCCATGTTCCGCGCGTCTCTGCGGGAGGAGAATGATGGGGAGCGTTAGACTGGTTTCAGGGACGCTCCGTCTCGTGTTGTGATGTTTACTCACCCGCAGATGTAGATGTGAGCGTTGTCTGTGTGAACCAGTCTCCAGACGGCCTCCTTGCTCTTCTTCAGCAGATGCTGTACGTACACCTGGAGATAATACACATCAAGTCAGGAACGCAGAGAATGGGTAGTGTTTAATGTTGATTTAACATGTTCATTTCTGTGAAAAAGTATGATTAATGCACCCGTCCAGACCTGTATATCATCTTACACTGATGCAGCTGCGTATGAACATGATGCAGGACGACTGACTGTGTGATGGAGTCTATTACAATGCAGTTATATGACTAAAATTCATGATATGAGGGCAAAAATGACCCTCTTATATTTATGTCATATGATATAGATTAGCAATATCACACCAGCAAGAGTGCTGTTTTCCCCAATATCTGCACAATTGCATATTGATTTTATATAATAGTTAAATAAACAAGACGTTAATATTGTCCTACATTTTAGACACAATATGGTCAATTTAGTCTGTTTTCGCTCAGTTTCATAGATGAAAATAGTTCCATTCAAAGTCACAGCAAAACTGTTAAGCATCAGCTTGTAATCAGCGGTGCTAAATCAGTAATGAATTATTCAATGACTCATTCATAAAGAGTCACTTGCTTTGTTTCCGAATGTGTTCTGAATCAGCGGTTTGAATGAATCGGCTGAATGAATGATTCATCGACTCACTCATTAAGACAGTTTTGCTGGGTCCCAATTCGCATACTATCCGTCCTAAATAGTATTTGAAATTAGAATTAGTATGTCCCAAATCGTAGTATGTTGAAATGAGTATTTCAAAGGTACTGCTTCCGGTAGAAATTAGAAGTGCAGATCCGTGCACGCTCTAACGGCTAAAATTGCCCACAACACATTGCGCGGTGGACGAGGATTTGATTAGAACTACAAACACGCATGAAAATTGTTTTAAAAAACTACAAACATGGCCGATATGCCATGTGATAAATAGTGATTGAGTGATAAATGATCAATATCTAACACTTATCCGCGTTATATTTCATCTGCAGCAACACTGTGAACTTTATAATGATACGTTTGGTCATTAACTTTTAAATCCATCATTATGCAAACACATGAGCAGAGTTCTGGGCATGATAGACCCGCGACTGGCAGATCAACGTGCCTCGTCACTTCTCTCCAATACGGTAGGAAATTAAATTAAATTAAATATGGATAATGTTAACTTTGACAAGATGATTGACAGGGCAGTTTAAATGGTGACAGGATGTACGTAACGTCCGTTAAAGACGCAGTTATGATGAAGTAGTATGTCCCAAAGCTTGCCTACTATTCTTCTACATACTCAAAAGTATGTACTTTTTGTCACAAAAAGAGTACTCAAAAAGAGTACTTTTAGGGCATAGTATAATTAGGCGAGTTGGGACGCAGCATGTGACTTGTCGCCACCTACTGCTGGATTTAGTTTCATATCTAGAGTATCTTTTCATTAAAATTTCATTTTTTAAACCCATTAATTTCCATTTAAAAGCCATTAATCTCATAGCATTATTTATATAATTCTGATTGCAGTGTAAAAGCATTCATGCCGTCTGTGTAAATTTATTAATTCATTATTATTTTTTAAGGCTACAATGTGACCATAACTTAAGCATCTGAAGTGGCACGTATGTTGAACAAATGTCAAAACATTCTTTCTAAAGCTACTTTTTTTAACATCTATTCAGTATTTTTTATTTAACACATTAATGGCTTTAAATAACCTTTTGTGGGTAATTGCAGTTAATTCGATTAATTAATCGGCACATCGTGTAATTAATTAGATTTAAAACTTTAATCGCTTGACAGCTTTACTTTTTCCAGGCCTGTGGTTCATTCAGAGATTCATGGGTGCCATGCCTTTCACAGTTTTTGACTAAATATTCCTGTTAGATGGTACAGAGAGGATGTGTTGATTACCTTTTTGCCTCTAAATTAGGAAAACTATTACAAAAGATATTTTAGGGAGAGATTTTTAATTGTGGGCCAAAGGGAACTAGACGTGTAGCCTAGCATGTGCGCTACCTTCTCTGCCTGGTCTCTGGAGAAAGCTACATTGAGCGCCGTCAGGACTCCAGTCTTCTCAAACTCCTCCAGTTCCTCTTGGTACAGGAAGTCCTCGTTCTTGTGACGGCAGCCATAGTACAACACTGTCTCTCCGACTTCCTTACCTACAAATGGAAAATCAAGATACTAATTGCACGACAGTTGGCTTGTTGAAACATGAGTGATACTGAATGGAATAATGGTGGGAGATATATAGATGAACATAAATGCAATAAGAAGCGATAGAGAATTACATTCGTTACTTGCATGCTGCTCCGACAGTTTTCGATGCACCCAAAGTGCATGCAGAGAAAGCTGACCGTCACGCAGCACGAGTACTCAATCAATCTTTTTCATGGTTTAATGTGCTTAAAGGAATAGTTCACCCAAAAAATGTGAATTTGCAGAAAATGTACTCACCTGCGGACCATCCAAGATGTAGGTGAGTTTGTTTCTTCATCAGATCTGGAGAAATGCAGCATTGCATCACTCGCTCACCAATGGATCCACTGCAGTGAATGGGTGCCGTCAGAATGAGAGTCCAAACAACTAAATTAAGCAATAATAAGGCTTCCTCCAGTTAAAAAGTCCATCTCCTGTTGTCTCTCACATCAAAATCCACCACAACTGATGGACTGGAGTGCTGTGGATTACTTGTGGATTATTGTGATGTTTTTATCAGCTCTCATTCTGACGGCACCCATTCACTGCAGAGCATCCATTGCTGAGACACTGATGCAGTGCTGCATTTCTCCAAACCTGATGAAGAAACAAACTCATCCTAATCTTGGATGGCCTGAGGGTGAGCACATTTTCAGCAAATTTTCATTTATGGTTGAACTATTCCTTTAAACAGTCAAATACAGTAAAGTTTTGGCAAAATGCCTGGTTTGGTGAATATTTGTGTTCACAAATAGAACTTATGTTCTATTGTATTTGTACTATTGCTTGTAATCAATTCTTAAAACTCTTCACTCATTATTCGGCTACTATTGTGAAGAATGTATAATTGGGACATTGCAATACAGCAAAAATAAGTATATCATTACATATATAATTATCATGAAATATAGTAAGATCGTGGTGAATGATGCAGATTATTTAGCATCACTTCTGCTTTTGCAGCTGTATTTTGGAATGATATTGCATAATTTTAATTGTGATTGGTCCGTCTAATAATGAGCCTTTCTACTGTTATGTCGCCTCTAACATTCCTACAGTGTATACATGCTTTACATTATATGCATCATGAATATTGTGTTCACAAATAGAACTTATGTTCTGTTGTATTTGTACTATTGCTTGTAATCAATTCTTAAAACTCTTCACTCATTATTCGGCTACTATTGTGAAGAATGTATAATTGGGACATTGCAATACAGCAAAAATAAGTATATCATTACATATATAATTATCATGAAATATAGTAAGATCGTGGTGAATGATGCAGATTATTTAGCATCACTTCTGCTTTTGCAGCTGTATTTTGGAATGATATTGCATAATTTTAATTGTGATTGGTCCGTCTAATAATGAGCCTTTCTACTGTTATGTCGCCTCTAACATTCCTACAGTGTATACATGCTTTACATTATATGCATCTGATTTATGCACACAGGAAGTAAATGGATCAGAACCAAAGTTCAATGCCATCAATTTGTTCTTTATTTTGAATACATTTACGGAACGGCTCAGCCTCCTCCTCGTGTGATTGTGATGCTCATGAAATCCTGACAAGTGTTGAAACCGAGGAAGCACATAACAGCAGAAGTCCTACCTTGTTCTTTGAGCCAGCCGCGCTCCTGAACGAAGCCCATGAAGGGGGCGATGCCAGTGCCCGGGCCGACCATGATAACCGGGTTTGTGGACTTGAAGGGCAGGCGGAACTGAGACTTGCGGATGTACATGGGCACCGTGGCCTTGTGTCCGTTGTCCGTTGGCATCTTGCTCTTCAGCCAGTTAGTGGTGACTCCTTTGTTGACCCGGCCTGTCTTGGTCTCGTACTCCACCACTACAGCACAGATGTGGATGCTGTTGGGATGAACCTGTCACAGGCAGCAAACACCACTTATTTAATTTTAATGGTAAAGTGTGTAATACTCTAAATTGCAATGTGGCCTTGTGCATTTATTAAACTGCACAGAGATGTGATTTGATCATTTTTACCAGGGGTGTTCAGTCCATATAAGCATGCTAATGCGCTGCATACAGGGTTGCCAAGTCTGCAGTTTTTCCGCTGAATTGTGCTACTTTTATACTGTTGCTGCGGGTTGTTTTTTTAGTTTGCAGGTTGAAGCGAAACCACTCGCCCCCTCGGGAACGTGATTTTGATATCTAATTTTCCCCAGAACGCAACTGAGCTAGTTTTGGCCATGATTGGGCTAGTTAAGAGTTGCAGTTCGTCTGTTTTTGTTACGCAGAACTGGCAACCCTGTCTGAATATACCCAAATCATCTGAGAGAATGAGTTCAGGGACTCGATGAATATTAAAGGGATAGTTCACCCAAAAATGAACATTCTGTCAATAATTACTCCCTTTAACACTAACATAAATTCCCTTGCCATTTGAGGTGTCACACAAAGCTTATATAATTGACATTTACGTATGAATCCCCAACATTGTATTTTTTATTTGCCAAATGAAGATCATTTTCTGCAAATCTGAGCCAGTTACGGAGTGATTTGGATGAACGGATCCACAAATTTGCTGTAACTGCCAGATCTTGATTATTAAAAATCACGTTGTATTTGATGCAAAATGAACTTGACTAAATCAAATGAAAAATAAAAAATACAAATCTTATATTTTCATGTTTTCTCAAGCAAAGCAAATTTTGAAAGTCCACTGAAAACATTTCTTCTTACCTTTTTTTGGCATAGACAAAGAATGTGAAGGTTCAGATTATTTGGCAACATGTTTGAGCAAACTAATCGAAGTGAACATTTATGAACATTTTTATTGCTCCATATGTTTTCCCCGTACTTGGTTTTCAGCTTAATATACACAGTATACTACCAGTCAAAAGTTTTAAAACTCAAATTTTACTTGATTTAATGTCTCAAATATAGACTGGGTCCACCAACATGCCTCAAACAAATTCATCCGTGCAAAAGAGCAAAGTAATTTAATAACTTTTTTATTAATAAATCAAAGAGACGGGATGTTTAACAGAAGTCATGCACTCTCTGTATGGAGGAATCATCCCTGAAGCTCAACGAGTGAAATATAACTCACTAGTGAATTATCATCATTTGCAGACAACAAATACCAACACTTTCCATCTTTAACACTAAAGCAAACTGTCTCTGACCTTCGAGGAGGAAGCGATGGAGTAGTAGCGGGCCTGCAGTCGAGGCAGGAGCTCACACAGGTGATCGATGGGCGGCCGCAGAGACGGCAAATCCTCCAGAATAGCCAAAATATTCCTGCACGGCATGTTTGAGCAAACTAATCGAAGTGAATATTTATGAACATTTTTATTGCTCCATATGTTTTCCCCGTACTTGGTTTTCAGCTTAATATACACAGTATACTACCAGTCAAAAGTTTTAAAACTCAGATTTTACTTGATTTAATGTCTCAAATATAGACTGGGTCCACCAACATGCCTCAAACAGATTCATCCGTGCAAAAGAGCAAAGTAATTTAATAACTTTTTTATTAATAAATCAAAGAGACGGGATGTTTAACAGAAGTCATGCACTCTCTGTATGGAGGAATCATCCCTGAAGCTCAACGAGTGAAATATAACTCACTAGTGAATTATCATCATTTGCAGACAACAAATACCAACACTTTCCATCTTTAACACTAAAGCAAACTGTCTCTGACCTTCGAGGAGGAAGCGATGGAGTAGTAGCGGGCCTGCAGTCGAGGCAGGAGCTCACACAGGTGATCGATGGGCGGCCGCAGAGACGGCAAATCCTCCAGAATAGCCAAAATATTCCTGCACGAGTCCAGCACCCAGCTCTGGTACAGCGCCTGAGAGACGAGAAAGACCGCGTCAGGAATACTGCCAGCTTTCACACAGCAGCACAACTACAGTTTAACTCACACCCTCCTCTGCCTCCAACAAGACATCCAATCGTGTCACGCTGCGTTGTTGTGCCACATCAAGAGTTGTTAGATAAAAATCTAACATTTTAATGCGCTTAAGGCTGTGGCAGTTTTTCCCTGTGGTATCAAAATAAAGCAATAAGCCCCAAGAAGCCGTGGTTTACAGTGAATTTATAATAGCTAAGGGGCGTTGCTGTTACAAATTCACTGTAAACCACGGCTTCAAGGGGCTTATTGCTTTTATAAAACGGTTATTTATATGTATGTTTGTAGAGTAATTCACAACAGCTTCGAACTTGGCTCAACTAATCAGAATCAAGGACCGGAACTCTCCGTTTTATAAATCAATATTTTTCAAGGTATCAAAGTTAGTAATTCTAATGTTGTGAAAACACTAGGCCTCAGTAACACTATTAGTAAAAAATACTGCTATTGGTCTACTATTGTCATTATATCACAATATGATCGCTGAGTGTAGTTTATATTAATAAATGGCTTGAGTTTTGCAGTAGTGCGGGTGATCTTACTTTGCCCTCGGGCGAGGAGGAGGCCATCTTCCTCATGTTCTCCTGCTCTTTGGGCTCGGTGGCGTACTGTGCCAGTTCATAAAGCACGTTTGTGCGCGGAGGATTGGTGATGTCCAGATAGTGTGTCAGAGCGGTGCGGTACGTGCTGGGACAGGGGAACGGATGCTTCTTATTGGACTCCTCTGAAAGGAAACACACACACACACAAATACAGTTCTGGCATGAAACTCTAGATGGCGCAGTCCGATAGGTCTAGCTCAATCTGACCTAATGGCATCATTATCACACGGCTCAGCTGATTGGTTCTCTCCTGTATCGGTAGCCAATGAGCTCGCTGCTCAACATTCAAATATATGACTAGTGCTTGCCGTAGCAGTCGCAGCTTGCTTCAGAAACCCTCCACCTTCCCCAGCTCCACCTGTATAGATCTGCTACGAGGTGATCATGTATGCTATATGGGGGTTATTTCATGTATGTTATATGTGCAGCAGCAGTATTTCTTACATGCTCACAGCAGCATGTTGTGGATGTATTGCAGCAAATACATTAACACTGTCATGTGCATTACCATGTCAATCCCTCAGAGAGTTGTCATGACAGAAATATGTTTCAGCGACACAGCTTTAGTAATCCTGACCACTGGCCAGACATGACTGAGCGCTGAAGGGTTCGTGTCATACCGTCGAGGTTGTTGAGCGAGATGACCGTGTCGAGGTCCACACCGAGGACCTCACCGATCCTGTTGACTATGACGCTGTCATTGATGGGATACACAGCCACATGGTCTCCTGATTCATACCTGTACACACATTTGAACACTAGCAATTAGTAAGCCGTTTAAAAGGAATTAAAACCGATTTCGGCTTCATTTGAAAAATAATATTTTGTGTTCAATTTTTTGAATGCAGTTACTACAGTTCACACCAGTTATCAAGTGAATGGTCATCCTTATCCATCTTTTCAAAAATCAATAAAGATACCAAAGGTCCATTTAAATGGACCTTTTATATTCTTTTATCCATTTATATTTTTGGTCTCACTTTATTTTGGGGACCATTTCTCACTATTAACTAACTATTAACTATGACTTTGCCTCAATAAACTCCTAATTACTGCATATTAATAGTTAGTAAGGTAGTTGTTTATTGGACTTCTGTTGAACTATTGATTATCAACACCCATTCACTGCCATTATAAAGCTTGGAAGAGCCAGGACATTTTTTAATATAACTCTGATTGTATTCGTCTGAAAGGACGGCTTGAAGAGGAGTAATTTTCATTTTTGGGTGATCGATCCCTTTAAGTTTAGTTATGGTTAAATAGGGTTAAATGATCTAGAATACGTTCATGCAGAATAAGGCATTAATATGTGTTTTATAAGTAATAATAAACAGCCAATATGCTAGTAATATGCATGCTAATAAGCAACTAGTTAATAGTGAGAATTGGTTCATACAATAAAGTGTTGCCATATTTTTTTAATAATGCATTATAAAGGTTCTTTGATGGTCTTATATTAAACATTGCAATGATTCATGTCTATGTCTTATGTATTATAAATTATTGGCAACCGACACATAACATGTCTTTTGTTAAAACATAGTAATGTCATCTTAAATATTCATGGTTACACATTTAAAGGGACGCTCTAAACCGCTTTAGATGTTAAAGGGACCGTTCTCCCAAAATTGGAAATTCTGGGAAGCAGAAACTGTTCGGTTACCCACATTCTTCAAAATACCTTCACCTGAAAACTAATAAAGAAAAAAGAAACTCATACAGGTCTGAAACAACATGATGGTGAGTAAATGATGACAGGGTATTTATTTTGGGGTGAACTGTCTCTTTAAGCGTAACTAGATGGCGCAAGAAAGTTTGATCCCAAATTTTGAACTGAATTCATTTTGAATAAAAATGAAATTGAAACTTGAATTATTATTATTTTTTACATTTTTGGACATTTTTATGGAATCAAGCATTCACAAGACTACACATTATTAAAGGCTATTTTGTTTGTAAGGTTATTGGTTGTTATCAGATCGTTTTCGATTACAATGTTTCCCTCTTGCACCTGATATAAAACGTAGCACTGGAACATGCAGCGAGGAGTAAACATGTGTGGAAAAGCTGCAATCTTACTGTAATCAAATTTGAATATTTGAAATAATATTTTCATTTCAAATTATGCATTCAGTTATGAATTACACAAAATATAGCCTATATTTTAAATGCAAAATGGTGAAACTAAAACGAAACAAAAAAAGAATGTGGGCATCACTGGATATTACTATTGGCTGTTTAACTTTTTTAAGTGCAAAACGGGGTAACACTTTATTTTATAGCAATAACAATAAATCATGCATAATTACATGCAACTAACCCGAACCATACGGCAAGTACATGTAGTTAATTATTGTTTCTCTGTACTTAAATATATAATAATATAAAATAAAGTCTAACCCAATACAGGTGTAAATAGTAATATATTGATGAGCATTGTTAGACTGCTGAGAGCGATCAGAAAATAAACACAGAGAGCAGTGCATGATGGAGTTCAGCAGAGCAGCATCATGAATATCAATATCTGGTGATTTCTGATTATTGGGGGGAAGTGTGTCTGCTGGTTATGGCCCTGATATACTGTATGTGACCTGATTTTGGAGCCTGTGATGTCCAGCTCCAGGTGCATCAGGTGTCTGTCCCCGGCCTTATTGAGCTTGCGGTTCACAGAGACCGGAGCCAGGAAAGGGTTCTTCGAATCGAAAGGCCTGCGAGAACAGACAATGAATTACAGACAGTAAACCATGAAGTCTCAAGCAGGGCCAGAGCAAAAATACCACCACAAGTGACAAAACTGACCCCAGACATTTATAAATGTGGTTGCAAAAAACTGCACTTTTTTGCAAATGTTTTATCTGTTATCTAACATTTGACAGTATTGTATTTAATAATACTATATAAGCATATCTACAATACAGATTAGCAGCTTTACAGTCAACTATGGAAACTGAACTATGGATTATTCTGCATTAAACCGTGACATTATTCAGCTCAAGTAAAGTGTGGTGTTTATTCAGTTCAGATTCGGCTGCACAATGAATCACGTTTTCATTGTGATCACGATTTCCGCTTCTCTCAAATTAATAAGCATAAGCATCTGTGATATTTATCCATTTAATTGAATTTGGCATTTGCTTGATCTTGCATTGTAATAAGCCTCCACATGGTTGCGGTTGCCAGATGTCAAGAGTTTAAGTCTGTTACATGTTCCCTGGACTTTTATGCTGAAGTGTTTTCTGTGCTTTGTTTGTAGTCTGTTTGTTTATTGGTTCCTCTTGATTAGTCTGCCCAGCTGTGTCTTTGTCAGTCACTGTTTTCTGAAACGCTTTCCATGTTCTAGTTTTATGCTTTTATGCTGGTTTCTGCCTAAACATTACAAAGTCCCCCATTCTGAGCTTTTCTCTTAAATCAACACACTATACATATACAGTACTTGTCAAAAGTCTCTTCTGCTCGCCAAGGCTGCATTTATGTGCTCAAAAATACAGAAAAAAAATGTAATATTATGAAATATTATTACAATTTTAAATAACTGTTTTCTATGTGAATATCTATTAAAATGTAATTTATTTCTGTGATCAAAGCTGTATTTTCAGCATCATTACTCCAGTCTTCAGAAATCATTTGCTGATTTGCCAGTTGAACGCACATGAACGCCACCACAAAGTCGTTATTACGAGTGCGAAACTTCCGAGTTGGGGGCGTGGCAGTGAGAAAACATGTCGGATGCAATGGATGCAGCGTCTGTATTGACGGAAAATTTGTTGAAATGAATAAAATGACTTTTTTTGTTGTCATGTACATATGCTGCATATACAAAATATTTCATTATTGTATAATTACCATAGAATATATAATGATTCGGTTTACATCACCTTCATAAATTGAATAAAAACAGAAAAAACACAATGATGCACATTCTTAATTCATCATTTTGTAGATGTAGAGTTAAAGTGCCCCTATTATGGGTAATGAAAGGTTAATATTTTGGGTTTGGGAGTCCACAACAACAGGTTGACGTGTGCAAGGTCAAAACACACTTTCATTGTCTTATAATATGCATTTATGTTTACCTTACTTGTTTAACGACTCTCAAACGATTCGCTCAACGATTAATTTTTTCAAACCCCTCCTTTGCGTGATGCTAATCTGCGGCGATTGGTCTCATTTTAATGTCATCATGAGCCTGTAATGCCTGATAAAGCAGTGTTTGTGAGCGCAGTGCTGCTTTGCATATAGCGTTACCGGGGAAACAGCTGTTATTACCGCTCTAAAAGCAGCATCTAGTGGCAAAGAATGAATTTGCATTTTCATTCAGACCAACGGGAAAAGACCAACAAGTGTGCGGACAATATGCTAATATTTCATGTTGACGTCAACATGAAACGGCTTGGGATTCGTTTTAAAAACGACTCGTTTCAATGATTCAGTCGACTCTTTCTTTTGAGAGACAATAACTTTATACACGGTGCACTTTCAGATTTAAGACTTTGCAGGATGTTTTCATTCACTTAGAGCTGTGTTACACACTGCATGAAAGGTTTATTTTATATTTTATAAAATAAAATAAAAATTTCAATCTTGATGAAAAAAAGTTAAATCGCCATCTTGTTCCGGCCTAAGTGACTTGAACGCACCCGACGTCGTAATTACGACTTGTCAACTCGCAAACACGAACTTCCCAGGAGGACTTGAAAGCACCATGAGAAAGTGAATGAAGTGCTTTACTCACGGCTTCTGGTTCTCGAAGCTCTTGAGGCGTCCCACCTCTCCAGTGTAGATCTTATTCATGTTCAGATCGCTGTGTACCTTCAGCTCATACTGACGGATGCTGAGAGACACAGAGAGTGTGTGTGAGAGACAACAAACCCAATGTGTTCAGCCGCTACACACAACCTAGAGTTTCCTGACAACCTCTTCTTCAGTTAGTCTGCGCAGCACTGGGTTTAGGTCTGAAAAGGCCTGTAAGTGGTGTTAATGAGCAGAGAAGGGCAGGTTGTCAGCTCAGGCCACTGTGACCCACTAACAAAGAAGGAAGGAGGAACAAACGCTGCTGAAGAGATCCCTGAGCATTCAGACCTGGATTCTTCACCCGTCGCTTCGACTCCAAAGTGTTCACACACAGCCGGCCAGAACTGCTCTCGCCACGACACAAAATCCTCCTCGAGACTGACGGAGAAACGATCACAAAACATCATTACATTACCAACAGTTCTGGTTATCAAGAATCGATTCCACACAGTCCCACAAGCAAACAACAACGGCTCTCATTCACTCTGAACAACTGCATACACACACACACACACAGACTCACACTCACACACACACACACACTCACACACACACAGACACACACACACACACAGACACACACACAGAGACACA